GCGTTTTGTGTGCCCAATGCCCAATCGGTGGCCGATCTCCCAGCTCGGAGCACCCCGAGTTACAGCACAACTATTCTGGTGCCCTATAACCACCCCCTGCTCCTTGGTCCTGTGGGGCTGATCCCGGTCCGCTTTTAGGAGGCTACCCTAAAGGGGCAAACTCCATATTGGCGAGCAGTATTGACAAGTATCCAGGTGACTGGCTCAGTAACTGAGCTGACATGGCAGACGCCACATGCTCCATAAGTTGCTGCACTGCAAAACCCGACATCATGTCAAGGCTGGATGGAATCTTTAAGGAATTCTGGCAGAGGCTGAGACACAGAGTGGTACAGGAAAAGGGGTTGAGGGCTGCGCTTAGCAAAAGATAGACAAAACAAGGTAAAAATAAATAGAGATAAAAACAATAATAAGTTTATCCACATATAAGAGAGGTATAAGTTAAAACAGTTCTCACTGATGTGCAGTGATATAATATAAGTCCTCAAATGTCACTCCGTCCTTATGGTAAAGTATTATAGAGGGCTTATATAGACAGATAGAGTTTATAGTACTTAGTGGTTTAATCCCACTATCGGATATACTGAACAATTGATCTGTCCGTCTCGGGTGGAGTTTCTTGTAGGTTAGACTCACTAGATGTGCATGTCGCTTTTGTTGGGGAGAGGGTCCGTCGTGTATTAAGTAAACAGCAGATTTCTAGTATGAATAAATACAGTATATGTATTAATCAATTATACTTACAAAAATAGAGCAGACAGATACTGCTCTATTCCCACAGCGTTGGTGGAATTATCCCCACCTCAGGATTTCTTTGGACGGGATGCACTCCAGTGGTAGATGATAAAATAATACAGTATAAAATAAAATAAAAATAATAGAAATAAAATGATAAAATAATATAAAATATTATAAAATAATTGATATAATAAAATTATGCCAGGGGTAAAAAGAAATTGGATAAAAGTGTATAGAGTACAATAAAATAAGTAAAAAAATTGGTCCTATATTGGAAGGTAACCAAAAAGTAACTTTTATTGACTAAAATACACTTATAATAACCATTTACGCGTTTCACCTTTAAGGTTTTATCAAAATGGTAAAAGAACAATACACCTGGCAAAGGGTTAAATATATAGGTTCACAAGGGTTTAAAATTGGCGCCAAAATTTGATGCACCAATAACAATAGAGATTACAATCAATCTTTAAAATACATTTCAAATTAGCTTTTAAACATAATGAGTACATTAATATGAGTCTAGTTAGGCTTAAAATGTATATATATGTTAAAAACGAAGCTTTAGAGCGATATAGTTTGTTGTTCGTTCCGATCACGTGATCGGAACGGTGCGCGCATGCGCAGATCGTTTTTCGGCAAAAACACTTCCTGGTGTGAACGGAGTGCTATTATATCAATTATTTTATAATATTTTATATTATTTTATCATTTTATTTCTATTATTTTTATTTTATTTTATACTGTATTATTTTATCATCTACCACTGGAGTGCATCCCGTCCAAAGAAATCCTGAGGTGGGGATAATTCCACCAACGCTGTGGGAATAGAGCAGTATCTGTCTGCTCTATTTTTGTAAGTATAATTGATTAATACATATTACTGTGTTATTCATACTGAGAGCACTATCTGCTGTTTTATATATCTCGTGGACACCCATCACCCAATACCGGAAAGGCGGACCTATCTCCCCAGCAAAACGAATATTGCACATCTGAGTAGGTCCTAGCCTACACCAAAGAAACTCCAAACCGGACGGACAGATCAATTGTTCAGTATATCCGATAGTGGGGATTAAACCACTAAGTGCCTTCTCTCCGAGAGCTGGATAAAGCTCCACCAAATGTGAGTGAAATACCTTTTCCTTTGAATATATATTATACTTTGGACATACAATATTTCACCATTGGAAGCCTCTCTTCTCTCATTTTGTCTTCACATATATGGACCACCCACCATAAGGACGGAGTGACATTTGAGGACTTATATTATATCACTGCACATCAGTGAGAACTGTTTTAACTTATACCTTTCTTATATGTGGATAAACTTATTATTGTTTTTATCTCTATTTATTTTTACCTTGTTTTGTCTATCTTTTGCTAAGCGCAGCCCTCAACCCCTTTTCCTGTATCTTTTTTCCTTAAAGGGTTTTGTGAGGGATTCCCTTTTAGGGTTGCTGCTCAACTGAGTCAGCGCAGACTCTTCCTCTCTATTTTTATACAGAGTGGTACAGTCTGCCCCACAGGAACGGAGAAGCCACTTACCGCGTGCACAGCCTCCACGTCCCCATCGTAGGCCTGCAGGATCGAGCACAGAGGCAGAGGGCGCGGTATCTCACGTCTGAATACCGGCCGAAGCGGAGGTGAGCCCCACTGCGGCCCAACAGAGAAGCTGAGAAGCCAGCAGTCATGGCTGCTCATCCCAACCTAAAAGCTGGGTTTAAGTGGAGATTTTAGGTTTGCTTTGGTTGCTGCTGATATTCTGTGTTTTATTTTTTTTTCCTTTCTGTTCTTATGTTGGTCTAATCGCTAATCCTCTACCTACACTCAAACACCTCTTCATTAATCTTCTCAGGAGGCCTCCAGAGGGATCATAAGTCCCATTATCGATCGTTCTCAGATTGCTAGTAACATTAGTGATGTCTAATAACCTGTATCTACTTATTGCTTCTGGGAACGCTTGTTACATGTTTTACTTTTTAATTCTAGACTTTATATTTACAAAATGTGCAGTATACTTGATGCATCAAATAATCTACTTGTAATATTGCCTCTCTTACACAATCTGGGTGATGTTTATTTCTCAACATGTATATTATTCTATGTACAACAAAAATAAAGAATGTAAAAAAAAAATAGCAAAAATAAAACCACTGACAGGTGAAGTAGACCACATTGGTTATATTGTTACAATGGTAGCTGTCATGGGGTGGGATATATACTTCAGCAGTCAGTCAGCTCTTGGTTTTAATGTGTTGGAAGCAGGAAAAAAGTGTGAGCAAAAATATCTGAATGACTTTGACAAGGGCAAATGATGACTGGATGACCAGGTCAGAGCATCTCCAAAACAGCAAGTCTTCTGGGGTCTTCCTGATATGCAGTGCTTAGTACCTACCAAGGAAGGCCAACTGGTGAACCAAATACTAAAAAACACACAAGTAATGTTATGGCGCTGGTTCAATTAATGATAAATATATAATAAGCAGCACTATATACAGTGAACAAGCTCAATCACATGTGACTATATAAGATCTGATGAAGCCGACTATATTGGCGAAACGCGTCATCACGTTGTGACGTAATCACGTTGTTGAGCTCAACGGCCGCAAGCCCCGCTTCCCGGAAGTGTAGACTGAGAGAGACTGTGTTCGGCACTCAGTGTCCTGTAAAACGCCGGCGCAGGACCAGAGGAACCTAAAAGCTCATTACTACACGGAGGAAGCATTACATGAAGGGAATTCTGTGAATACCAATAAAGATTTCTACCGTCACCACAGCTTCCAGTTTGCATATGTTGCACAAGATGCCATCTAAGTTCAGAGCAGACTAAATTGCTCTACCCTCGTGAGTGTTTTTTTCCATATTTTATACATTTATTTATCAAACATACTGTCCTATGATTGTGTATTTCCCCTTTTTTTGAGATCTAAATTGGAATACTGATATACAAACTCAAAGGTATATTCCAAAGTGGGAAATAAGCTAAGTATTTTTGTGTGGTTTAAAATTCACTATTTTTGCAGAATATTTGCACACATTTTTAAGTGTGATTTTGCACATATCCACTTGATCACTTTCTGTGTTATATAATATTACACATATTATTCTCACTTTATTTCAATGTTTATTGGTCTTAAAGGCACAGCGCACTTTATTTATTTTTCAACTGGTGAACCAGTATCAGTGCCCAAAGCTCATTGATGCATGTGGTGAGCAAAGGCTAGCCTGTCCGGTCTGATTACACAGAAAAGCTATGTAGCTAAAATTGCTGAGATACTTAATCCTGTCCATGATGGAAAGGTGTAACAACACACAGTGCTTTGCAGTTTTTTGCGTATAGCCACAGACTGAGTCAGAGTGCCTTCACTGGGGATGTGACCACAGAGCACTGTTGCCTGGTCCTTGGGTCCTAGCATTCACTTTGATGCATACCACCTACCTAGAGATTGTTGCAAACCATGTACAACCCTTCATGGAGTCCATGTCTCGAAACATCAGAGCAGTTTTGGCATCATGAGGGGGACCTACACGATATTAGGTAGGTTGTTTTAATGTTGTGGCTGATCAGTGTGTGTGTGTTATATATACAGTGGAACAAAAATTTTGAGTAAAAAATGTTTTGGTACACGAACATTCCTCGGTACCTAAACACATCACGCGGCATTAACCTCTATGGAAATCTTGTTGGTAAACTCGTGGGTACCTCGTTAGTATGATGCATCGCCATTCCATTCTGTTAGGAAACCGCTCTTTTCTATAAGCAAACCGCTCCATTCTGCCAGCAAACAGCTCCATCCAGTCAGCAGAGCTCCATCCAGTCAGCAGAGCTCCATTCAGTCAGCAGAGTTCAATTCTGTCAGCAAACAGCTCCATTCAGTCTTCAAATAGAGTTGCATTCAGCTTCAAATAAAATTCAATTCAAACTTCGAATAGAGTTCAATTGAAGATTGTAAGCTTTAGTGTACTAATAATCTTAATTTTAATGACAGGAGGCGAATATTTTGCTTATCTTTCTTTACTAATGCCATATAGCAGCAAAGAAAAGTAATGAAAAAGTGAGAACCAATCAAATACAAGCAATATATGTATATAAAAGGCATGGATACCTGAGTCACTTCCTCTTTAACAGCGACATCACAAGTCCATGAATCCACTTGAAACTGTAGATGTAAATTGTGCTTTAAATCAAAACAACTAACGTCAGGACCAGTATTCCTTAAATAGGACTGTTGGCGATCATCTGCAGTGTCCAGTTAAGCGGAAAGAGAGTATAAACAGTTTTAGTTCACTGAATGGGTACATCCTGACTGCCTTGCACTAGGAGATAGCATTACACCCAAGACATCCACCCCCAACTAATCTAGCTAGCTGGACATAAAATAAATCCCATTCCCAATCAAACCAGACCCAAAAGAACAGGGCAATAAAACATAACAACTGAACAAATGTAAGAGGCAGCCACATAAACGGGCAAACACAAAATAGGTAAAGATATAGGGAGGGAGACAGAGAAGAAGCGAGAGAACGTATGAGATGAGAAGTTGACGAGATGCAGGAGGCTGCAACGTTGCGGTAGCTTCCATGTAACAGCGGAGCGTAGAAATCTCAGAGTTGCAGGTCCGAAGGGAAACCGGATAAAAAACGAGGATGAATCCGATTTAATACATCTGGTAACCTGAAAGGTCACACTTTCCGGGCAAAACGCATCCGCGTTGAATGCCCTAACGTAGGTAGCCCGTCGAAAGGATACTAAGCAAAGGAGAAAGGTAAAGTTTGACGTAAGTTGGTGTAGAGATAGCCTGTCGTTGGGGGGCCAATCTCATAAAAATCGGAGGACGATACCAACGTCCCATAACCGTGTGTATTTGGGTCCTGGAGGACGCCAAAGTCGTATGCCACAAAGGAGACGGCAAACAAGTGGATCTTGGTGGTCGTCTTTCAGGTCCAGCTGCGTAAACCAGTCTCCGTCCCGAAGTAGGTCTTGAAGGAGATGAATGCCTTCCATCTTGAAATGCCTGTATATGACGTGGGTATTTAGCTGTCTTAGATTAATAACCGAACAAGATGTTGCTGAAGAATCCGTCGAGATTCGGGGCTGTCTGAATGGCACCCTTATACCATAGATCATCCAGTTCTGAGTCAACCAGTCTGGCATCCGCGCCTGCCATCCGAAATGGGGGTGGGTGTGATTGGACGCATACCATCTGCAGGATCCAGGCGTCCATGGAGAGACCTGCCCAGCTGTGGAAAAAATGAGAAATACGGCCTGCAATCTGAATAGTAGTTAGCGGAACAGAAAGCTGGGAACTTACCGGAGGTGAATCTTTCCCTGGAGCGTCCTTTGTCACCGCAGCCGTGGTCTGAGCCTCTGGAACCGTTGGCGGTTTCCCATCCCCGGGTAGAAAGGTTGCGTCCGGGTTGTACTGGGGCCTAAAGGCCAGAATCGGCAAGTGGCACGACCCCATTGCTGACCAATCCTGCCAAATACACCTCTGCAGAAGACTTTCCGCATGGACGACTGAACCTTATTAAGTGATGTGAATATATTCACTCTTTTGTTGAGCTCCTTTAAGAAGGCCTCAAACAGTTTACCCTGTGTCAAGGGACAAGCTCCTTGTCCCCCAATTCCACCAGTTTCTCATCAATGCGGAACAGTGTTGCACAGCGTCTCTCAGATGAGAGGTCCACATTGGTGTTATCAGAGGTCCACATTGGTGTTACCGTTGTGCCCACTCACGCACCATATGTGAATCAAAGGTGTCAACCCAAGCATATGTGTCATCAGCCAAGTCCATGACCCTTGTCAGGGGTCCAATGGCATTGAGTATTTTGTCCTGTGCCCCTTTGAACCCTTTTTGTGGATCTAGTCCCCTTCCTGCCATTAAGGTCAGCATAAGCTGGTCAAAGTCGGGGGTGAGGGACAACTTTTCTGGCAGTGTGGGGCGAGGGCCCTCTGACCTCATGTGTTTCCACACCTCCTTGTCCAGGGGTTTCCAGAGCTAGAAGTGCATGAACTTTGCCAAGTGGTCCGGGGGTGTCCATTCCTCAGAGCGAGCATGTTGGATTTTCCTAGGGTTGAAAATCTAGAAGCCGGAGGCATCTAAGAAGACTTTGGAGTCCTCTTGGGTCATAGGGGTTTCGACTGTCAGGGTCTTCTCGCTCTGGGGCTCACCCAGGAAAGTTTCCAGTCATCCGCTTTGGACACTTCAACTTGCCACTCACCCAGCACTGAGAGTGCGTGTGGCTGGTCTCTTTCCATGTCCGAGGAGGAGAATTGTACGGACTTGGGTACCGTGCATTGAGGGGGCTCTGTGTTTTGTGGGCGCCTTGCCATTGGTGAACGTTCCCTGGAGGAGTCCACCATATAATGTGCCCTCTTGGCTGAAGGCTTAGCTACATGCTGGCTAGCGAAGGTTTGAGAGAAAGCTTTCTCCATAGATGCTGCGACAGCGGCGGCAACCATGGCCTGCAAATCAGTAGGTGTCTGTGACTCTTCCATGTTGTAATACCCTGTAACGGAGCTCCTTGTACTCCGCCTGAGTACCCTCCGTTGATGGATGCTCCTAGCGCTTCCTGAGGACTCCCAAGCACTGCAGCAGACACCACAACCACTGCAGACTCCGCAACCGCCGTATCTTGACTGGAGTCTCGCCGTCTTCCTTCCACCCTGGATCAGCTTCTGTCCTCCAGGACTGTGTGGGAAAGAACTCTCTCTTCCACCCTGTATGAACCTCCAGCATCCAGGACTGTGTGGTGAAGACCCCTCCTCCAAGGAGAGCGTGTCAGGAACAAGCTCTTAAAAGAGCTAAGTGACTCAAGCTCAGGGGAGCATGCAGAGCATAGCAATCCCCAGTGTGATTATAACAGCTCCCTCCAATAACAAGACAAGGCTACGTTTAGAGGGATCAAGAAGAACTGTCAAAACCTTTATTTCCCTTGGGACCAGCCAATAGGGTCACCACAATAACATTGTTGTGAAACCTCAATAAAATCACAAATCGTCAAGCTATATCAAGCAGCACACAGTGACTTATCACAAAGGGGTGGGGGGAGACAATATTTAACAGTAAATATCTCACCTGCCTGCAGAATTAGCAATATGCAAATCTACCCGAATATGCAAATGAACCAGTCTTGCAATTCAGGTAGTGCATATTGCTGTTGCTACCAACAGAGGGCACTAGACAAGCTCCATAGCCAAACCCACCTAGTTGGTAGCAAACCTCAGCAATACAAGAGAGCAGGCAATATATTACACAGTACACACACACACACTATAAACAATTACATAACACACCCCTGCACCTATAATGGGTACAGGGTGACTAAAACATAAGATAAATAAAGCAGCCTACATAAATAGTCTGTCTGAAGGTAGACTAGGGGCTTTAAAGCCAGATACATGAAAGAGTCATAGTCACAGGGGAGGAGGCTAGCAAGTAGGCCTCTCCAGGACCAAGTGGCGAAGGGCACTTCGTCACATACCCCATCCTAAACAGCCAAATGGGCAGATCTAACCATCTCGTGGTGCTGCCATGGATCTCCTTCAGTTGCTGAAGATTGGGCCAAACTAGTCTGGCAGTGGGATGAAGTGATAGGCTGAGGGCACTCAGATGGTTCTCTCAGCCAATCACTGCCCCCAGTTGCCGCTTAGGCTGAGAAAGAAGAGTTAGGAAGAAGAGTGGAAACATCAGGAACGTTCCACATGTAGTTTAAAAGTGAACCAGGACACTTCAGGAAGAGATTATGATGCCCAAGGGTTCAGGAACAGCCTTTAAAACACCATGACTGTACATCGGGCAATTAGGAGAACCTATTTAATTAATTTGCCTTCCTGTAGAAGTGAGTTTTTAATCATTTTTTTGAATGTACGGAGACTGACAGGTGAGAGTCTAACAGAGCAGAGAAGGGAGTTCATAGGAACGGTGCAGCTCTAATGAAGTCTTGAAGGTGGGCATCAGAGGTATGAGTATGGACAGATGATAGAAGCAGAGTGAAGGAATCTGGATGGGACATACTTGTTTATTAGGGAGGATGGATAGTAGCAACTTTATGTAAGCAAGTACCAGAATTTTAAATTGAGCCCTATAGCTCATGGGAACTGACAGAGTGGGAAGCGTTGGAGGTGCGGGTAGACAGGAAGATCAGGTTCATAATTATTACTCTAGCATGAAATGAGCGCAACAGTATTAAAAATACATTTTAAAATAAACACATAAAAGTTATTAGTAAAAAGTTGCTAATCACAACGAAGGAAATTCCCCAATCCTAATAAAACAAATAAAGAAATAGTGCTGACACTTTACTATTTCTAAAGTAGAAATACCAATAATAAAAATGATATGCCAAACGCAAAATCCAGAGAGAGCTCTAAACTTAGACTAGTCAACTGGTGCTAAACTAATGAGAAGCAAATGTAAAGGTCCGGTGAGGTAGCTTAGTTGGCAAATTCCCTGACTACAAAGCCTGTTCAAAATGCAAGGTCACAGGGTCAAAATGCAAGGTCACACGTTCAAAAATGCTAGGACACAGGTTCAAAAATGCAAGGTCACAGGGTCAACTCAGCCCTTCCTCCTTCCGAGGTCGATAAAATGAGTACCATCAATTGGGTAATAATAACATCTATTACTATTCAGCTGCCGATTTGGTTAATTCCAAGATTGTGCGCTGAAAAGTGCTTTGAGTCCCACTGGGAGAAAGGCGCTAGATAAATACTAGTTATTAATTTTATCTATTGTTATGTAACTGAACACAGAGTCTCCCTAACAATAGTTAAAAAATGTCTTGCGGTTTAGTGGGGCCACACGACTATGTATCAATATCCAAGTGCACTGCCTAACAGAGATTGTGATGGGAATTTTCAAATTAACTTCCATTCAATCCGCACCTTTCAGTAATATTGGCAGAGGAGTGTGGAAGGCTAACACTATACCATACCATCATACTAAACGCCGACCTTAATAGAGCAATAAGTGGTTATAGTGTCATAGGATCTAAATAACTCCTTGAAGCATTCTTACTACCAGTAATATCAACACAACTACATCGTGTTTCCTCAATAGAAGAACACCCCACATTTAGCCACAAAAGGGCTCATCAGGGGTGCAGGTAGATATATGAGTAGTGTATTGATCATCTACGTGCTGCTTTTTATACTGCCCCAGTTTCCCGCTCTTTTAATGCTTGCGACCTTCAACCAATCCCAGGCCAGCTCCAGTCCACAACAACCGCTGTGCCATCAATTCTGCCCAGATACCTGTCTAACTGACCGACTACCACAAAATGTAAAACTTCACTCCTACATTGCCATTATACATATATGCCAAAGTACCTAGTGCCTGTGGCTTCTACATGTATGGTAGGCAATATTTGTATAAATCAAATGAGACCACACAATAAACACAGACAACATTTAATCACTTCTCAATGGGCTTGGCCGTGGTATTTATTCAAAACTTACTTAAGGGGCTCACAACCATAATTTTATAACCATAACCATATAACAAATGTACACCTTTCAGAAACCTGAAACGTTGATAACCACCAACTAGCCAGTCAGTCTTGGATGACGTGACTGCCTTTTTATTTAAAACTTTTAACTTTAATAATCACCATATTGCCAGTTAGTGTTAGCTAACCTGACCGCCTTTAATTTAAAACCATTTTGACCATATCCTTCATCAGAACTTGTTGCCACCCCGATGATGACTTTTGCCCCACTGCCTCACCTGGAGGCCCCCCGCAGCCAAGGCCCTTTTCGTCATGTTTTGTAACTCCAACCTAAATATATTAACTCCAATGTTTGACAAATGAACCCAAAGCTTACTGTGATAAGCGCTTCTTCCCACGAACATTTGCCACAGACTACTGGAGGAGTGTGGAAACAGGCCTCCTGCCCACCAACTATGGTCCAGGGCGGGGGCATCGTTTGGGAGTTACGCTGCCTAGCCGCCATTGGTAGCTTTCCCTGGTAGCTGCCCCTTGTTCTGCACTTTCCCTTCATGCGAAAGGAACCTAACGTTAGCTCTCTGGTGGCCGTTCGCATGAACCAAACCCACGAATAGTCCTCTGCTGTACTTAGCCGCGACCACTATGGAACTGATTTTGGCATGAAGTGACCATGCAGTTCCCGGACATCTTGGTCTGGGGTTTTGAACCATTTTTTTAAAGAAAAGGTGACTGAGACTAAGTAGAACAAATGCTACCTGAAAGCCAGGTGGAGTATCCCATATTTCAGTCGCAGGAGCTCCCGAAAGTTGACCGGCAAAAGCACCGAACGTCCGGGAACTATTTGGGGCATAGGACCACGTGTGCAGCCAGTCAGAACTTTAACACGGTGGCATTTCCCCTACACTGCATGGATCTGAGCGCTATGTGGAGAACTTGGGGCTCGGGTCAGGGCTATTTGAGGGTGTATTATTTGTGGGGTTATTACATGTTTTAATGATGTTTTGGGGTACTTTTATGTTTTTATATTTTTGTGTTTTGGCGCTCTAAAATTCGCTACCTGCACTAAGTGCCTGAAGATTACATTTTTAGATAGCATTATTTGAATGTTAATCAAGTAGGAAAGCAGCTTCGATATTACCACCAACTCTATTAGCAGGGGTCAATTAATGGAAAATAACCACTTATCTCAAGATGACACCTAAGCATACCAAGTGTCCTATTCGATTTCTTTCATAAGAATTTGACTGGCTATTTAAAATGAATTAAGATAAGTATTCTAGCAATTCCCCCCTGCATTTTCTTCTGAATTCTGTTCTCAACTAGGAATATTATTCCATCAAATGCCTTCCATCAAATATTAAGTTACCAGTATAAGAATACAAATACCACTGACTCATAGTCACAGTGGAATAATAGCCTACATTTTAAGCAGCTATACACTATACAAAAGTTAATCTTTTGCTCCAAAATAATCAAAATCCAACTACCTATGGCATGCTATTGCTATCCCCAAAAATTGAACATCTGAACGCAACAAGGAGCAGCCATTGAAAACTTGCAAAATCTTTTCAAAACCTTTAAATCCTTTTAATTCCAGCCTACATGCTAACAAGTATAACACAGTAAAAGTATACACAACTGGCACGCTAATATTTTGCACTCACGAAATGTTAAGTATAAGATCGCCTTAGTGGTGGTTCCACTGATGTTGCTGGGGGGCTGGAGAGATCTCTTTTCCTCTCCCAGAGGGTGCAGGAATCGGGTAAAGTATAAAAACATTTATTTTAAATAACAAATTAAATAAAATCAGAATAGGCCCAGTCCTACTCCTTTCATTCTATTACTAGCTAAGTGTGACATTAAACGCATCCATTAGACACTGAACAAGTGTTCCTATCATGATTTAACCAAGTGCCAGGTAAGACAAATGATGAATAAGCCTTAATTACCCATGATCCTTTTAGAAATTAAACCCAGAGGAGACAAACCAAAATAGCAAAAGTAGGGCATTCAAGAGAACTATCTATTTTACCAAAATGTAACACTCATTTTTCAACTTACATTTTAATCCCTTAAGGATGGTGGGCGGGCGGCATAGCACATCCTTTGTATTTACCCGCTCGCCTGTGATCACAGTGGGGGGACTAACCTGGCATCCCAGGGAGTCCCCCTGGTGCCGTTCTGGCCCTCCTGGGCCATGTGATTGCGAGGTCCTTGAGAGGATCTCATGATCATATGGACGGAATAGCCTGCATTGCCAGCAGGGGGAGTGCCTGTAATTACAGGTTGTCCCACTGCTGCCTGTAAAAAGTAAAAAAAAGTTAAAACACAGTTTAAAATAAAAAATTATATACTTAGATCAAATATATTATATATATATGATCTAAGTATATATATACACATACATACACTGTCTAAGTGTATTTTAATATTTATATATATACTAATATCAAAATACACGTAAAATATTTATTAAATATATATATAATTATATATATTTAAATATAATATAAAATAAATAAATATGTAAATACATACAAAAAATTTAAAATTAAATAATACAAAATAAATAATTAATATATATATATATATATATATGTGTGTAATTTTGTTCTAACTGTATTTTGATAATATATATATATTGATATCAAAATACACGTAGAACGAAATAATATATATATATCCATATACATAAGTATGTACGTATCCATCACTATATATATATACCTATATATAAATAAAAATAAATTTAAAAAATTATATATAAAGCAATAAGTCTGGCACTCTGTCCTGAAGTAGTAGAAAAATCAACTTACACCAAGGTGCTGCTCTGCGCTGAATATATGAAGACAAATAATGACCATGAGAGCACTCAATGGATTTTCAAAATAACAAAGTGTATTTAAATGTTGCCAAAAAGGATTGACGTTTCAACCTAAGGGTCTTTATTAAGATCCTTTTTGGCAACATTTAAATACACTTTGTTATTTTGAAAATCCATTGAGTGCTCTCATCGTCATTATTTGTCTTCATATATATATATATATATATATATATATATATATATATATATATATATATATACGTATGTATATAATATTTCTACGTATATATTTATGTAATATTTTTACATAATTAGGTCATTTTATTAATTACAATTAGCGGGACCTGCCTGCCAACCCATGCCGAAAGTAAAGGGAATTTAATTTGCTAGCACTATATTTAACCCTATGACTTTCCAAGGCACCATAAAACCTGTACATGGGGGGTACTGTTCTACTCGAGGGACTTCACTGAACACAAATATTAGTGTTTCAAAACAGTAAAATGTATTACAACGATGATAACGACAGTGAAAGTTAAATTTTTTGCATTCAGCGACATCTCCCAAGTATAACAGTACCCCCATGTACAGGTTTTATGGTGTTTTCAAAAGTTACAGCATCAAATATAAGGCTTGTGTTTCATTTTTTTCACTTTGAAATTTGCCAGATTGGTTACGTTGCCTTTGAGACCGTATGGTAGCACAGGAATGAAAATTACCCCCATGATGGCATACCATTTGCAAAAGTAGACAACCCAAGGTATTGCAAATGGGGTATATTCAGTCTTTTTTAGTAGTCACTTAGTCACAAACACTGGCCAAAATTGGCGTTCAAATTAGTTTTTTGCATTTTCAAATATTAACACTAAATTTGGCCAGTGTTTGTGACTAAGTGGCTACTGAAAAAGACTGGACATACCCCATTTGCAATACCTTGGGTTGTCTACTTTTGCAAATGGTATGCCATCATGGGGGTAATTCTTATTCCTGGGCTACAATACGGTCTCAAAGACAATGTAACCAATCTGGCGAATTTCAATGTGAAAAAAATGAAATATGTAACATGCTATATTTGACCCTGTAACTTCCCAAAACGCCATAAAACCTGTACATAGGGGGTACTGTTTTACATGTGAGACATCGCTGAATATAAATATGTGTATGCTACTGCAGTAAAAGCAAACAGTATTATGACATTCACAGTTAGAATGTCACGTAGAACTAAAAAAACTCTAATTCCTTTTTTAATTGGATCTAAGTTTACATGAACTGAGCTATGTACAATAACCATCGTGAAAAGGCCAACATAGATTGTTGGGGTTTTTTAACACATATATACAGCATCTCACAAAAGTGAGTACATCCCTCACAAAAATAAAGTGGCTCGATCCTCATTTTTCTACAGAGCACCGCAATTATGGAATAACCCCAGGGACGCAGTCAAATCTTTATTAAATCTAAAATCTTTTAAGAGATCAATAGCAATATACTTCAATGCAGAATGCACCTGTCATGGAAGAATATCTTTATCACCTGTTATGTATTAAATTTATATATAGTATGTTTGTATATTGTATTTTTGTAATATTGTATCCTATTGTAACAATTCAATGTGGACCCAGGACATACTTGAAAACGAGTCCATCCTGGTAAAATATTTTATAAATAAATAAATCTTGCTACAATTTCACTCCCTACCTTTTGATATTTGATACACCACTCGGTGATGCTAATTTGTTACCTTTTTTTGTTATGAAATGTAGCTATTCTGTGATTCTGTAGCTTGCAAGTCTAATGCAGAACACGTGAACATCGTTTGGATAAATCTCGCCAGATATAATTGTCCACATGGATATATCCTAACAGACCACACAATACCATAAAAATGATAATAAATTAGAGTTATCTCTGTATGTACTTTGTCTTTTCTCTATTCCCCTTTTTTCGTCTAATGTCTGTATAGACCTATATAATATTTAGTTTATCTCGTGCACTTTTTAGTGATAAATGGGAAGGCGGAGCCTGGAGTTGTGGGAGGGGTTGCAACCGGCCTATATAAACCCACTACTTACCTCCATACCTTGCTGACAGTGCTTGGTCACTTCCTGTTGCTTGAGGTCAGCATCAGAATGATTTCCACTTCCGGGTCATCCAGACGCCATTTTACCTGATTACACCATGAGGTTTTCTAAGCTGAGCTGTGTCAGAAATCCAGCCACAGGCTTTTCCGGCCTACCAGCTTTTTCTTCAATCTATCGCTGTGGATGGTGTCCAAGTGGCTCACAAACCGTAAGTCGACCTACCCGTTACGCCAGGCATCAGTCCCACGGCACCATGCACGGGTCAGGTCCTCACTTTACGGCTGCATTTGGTCTAAATCTGTCCTAAAACCATTGCATGTCGATGCATATCATTCGTTTAAATTCACTTGTTTATATCTGTCACTGGCTCATTTTGAGCATTAGCATACTCCCAAATGGGAACACATTCTGTTTCAAGTGCCTAAACATACTAGGCAATTCTGTGTGTGCATTTCGAATCTCACTGCTCGTTTCGTTTTGTTTCCCTGACATACCAGGCTCACGGTTCGTGCAATTTTCTACCAAACGGGAACTAGTTCATGCATTTACTACTGTACTACACACACGCTTCGTGCATTTACAACCCACTAACGGAACTTTGGTTTGTTACAATGACTGTTATTAAGCTATTATGTTCACATATTGTATATTGTCAAACGGGCACTGTTTGTTTCCCTGTCATACAACTATAATGCTAGGGCATAGCTCACGAACAATGTTTCATGTAAACCACACTGACCCCTACAGGTCACTCTCAAAATCTCACGTTAACCTTGCATTTGGATTAACCCCTTAAGGACCAAACTCTGGAATAAAAGGGATTCATGTATCCTGAAGGGGGTTAAAGGGTATTTTACCATACAATCAGCATTTCTGACCCCTACTGGTCAACATCAAAACTGTCTTCACATGTCATATACAATTACTAGCCAATATAAATTACACATAAGATTGTTTTAAACCTAACCATAAATTAAACTCCAGCACTGGCTCAACAATTTGTCTTTCACATCAAGACTAACAGTGGTTCTATCAACACTGCCACCTACAGGTCTGTCAAGTACATTGACAATTTTCATGGGGTTTTACAGACACCAAAAACACTGACCCCTATAGGTCAACAGATAAACAACATTTCACATACCAATCAGCATCAACTACACTACCACCTATAGGGCACTCGGCAGTTCTCCAGTACACTTGCATTTTGCAACACCATGTTCACTGACCCCTACCATTCAATAAGGCATACAACAATTCACAGAGCAAGTAGTATAAATACACATATTATTACAAAGTAGCACACGCATCTGTATATACGTAACGGGTAATATAGTTCACATACATTTTTCATAGCACGCTGCTCACACAACAGACTTTCCCCTAGCAATGGGACATACAACATCCAAGGTGGGAACAGACCACTTTTCACTTGTACATACGGCACTTAATGGGTTAAGATTGATACATATTTAACCAGTATGGCTATGATGATTAATATTTACATGTCACGGCACTTTACTTTTCACATATACTGTATGTTTTAAGATAAGCTTGGTCTATGCCATTTTTCCTTATGCCATACGATTTTATCCATTCAGGTTACAGTTACTACTAAAAAACCTATACGGATTGTCAGGTTCAATACCATACTACCAGGTACGTACACCTGCTCACGTAGTTATCCATCTCTTACCTTCCCTGGAATAGTAATAGTGTACTGGCAATTAGGGTTCTAGGGCCCAATAGGTATTACCCCCTTTTTTCTCTGCTTTATGCTTCGGTTAGTGGTCCCGCGAGGCCAACAACCCGCCTCACACACGGAGGCATACATCCCTCGGGCCACTCGTGAACTAGCCGCCTCGCATTGTATCATAGAGAGGGCCTCACCTGTCACTCCCCTTCCTATTTTTCTGGTTACTGTCACCGAGAGGCCAACATCCTGCCACAACGTTCGGTGGCCACACAAAATCCCCTCGCGCCAAGCATAGATAGAGCCTCTCAAGCCACTTGGCAACTAGCAGGGCCTCACCAGTCACCAAAAAACACCAAGCCTAATCGTTTCGCCTTACGGCTTAGCTAGCAAGCCAGTACAAGAGCCTGGGTACAAATATATAATTGCAATCTTTATTGTTATTTAAGTATTTCCCAAAAAGATGGTAAAGAATCTCCTCTTCCTAGCACCCCGGCTAGAAGTGATACACTTTCATCTCTTACCTTCCCTGGAATAGTAGTAATGTAATGGCAATTAGGGTTTTATGGCCCAATAGGTATTACCCCCTGTTTTCTCTGCTTTACGCTTCATTTAGTGGTCCCACGAGGCCAACACCCCGCCTCACACTCTGAGGCATACACCCCTCGGGCCACTCGTGAGCTAGCCGTCTCGCATTGTATCATAATGAGGGCGTCACCTGTCACTCCCCTTCCCCTTGATACACCTTCAAGCAGAGGAGATGTGGCTCCAACCTAAGGAGGCGACAAATCCCCTACCCTGCCACAGCAACGAACGCAGCGTTATTCAAACTCCTCCATACATTAACGGATAAAACGGAGACAGGGGAAGGCCCAGCAACACCAACTAAGGTGAAACCTAGGCCATGCTAGCCTCACTCAAACTCATGAGCCAAAAAATTTAAGACAGATGAAATTCGGTTACCGGGTACAATCAATTCTTGGTACAAGACGTTAACCCTGCACACATGATCCCGGTACATTGGGGAAACAAGGCATAAATATGTATGATGATGTATCTATGATGGTCAGACCCAGAGATTCCAGGTAAATCGGGAACAGACCATCCCTTGGTTGTGTTGGCATTTGGAATATGTAGAGATGCTTATTTGTGCAGGTACCCATACAGAAGGGATTTTCTCCCAAACAAATGGACGAGCACTCTCAGGCTCCAGGTACCAGCACCTCTGAACTACCAGAGACAATTGGTATGAGTCGTTGCATTGCATATAGACTGTTGCATATATGTTCAAATCATTCAGGGCACATGACAAACCATGTGTCCCAATACAACTTACAAATAACGTACTCACCATCTGTACACACCAATCCATTTTCAACACTACTAACTCATCACCCTTCCAGACTTGTAGTAGATTTACTAAAGATCCGGAGCTTCAAAGGGCTCCCATACAGGTATCATACATACACCTTCAAGGAATATAGCATGTCCTCACTTACAGTCAGCACACAGAACCATCGGCTGTAAACACACTCATAGCCAAGAATAACAGAGGGGTTTTTACTTGGGTTTTCCAATCTCCACCATTTACAGCATGGCGCCAAACACAAACACATTGGTATTGTCACAAGGGAATCTTCCCTTAAACAAAGACTAACCATAGACTTATTGGCACCACACACCTTCGCTACCCCAAGTCTCAACTCCCTCATACCCTCCGAAGAGTTTCCTTACTATACACACCATTGATCTACCTTTACAGCTATCACTCAAGCATGGGTTGAAGCTTGGTTAAGTAAGACCAATATTATCAACACAGTAAATGGCTACCATCTACCCTACACACTGGCACTTACATGGCATAAAAATAGGCAATTCTTTCCCCACTAAAAGCAGCTCCTGTGGAATGGGGTAAATCATGGTCAGGGTCATCAATCCATTGTTACTCAGACAACTAAGCACATGGCATATCATCAACAACTTCGCCATGAGACGAGCTTTCATCTCACGTCTACTCGGTTTGTTACCCAACTTACCCAACAACAACAGCAGGGTTACACTGAACATTCAGGCTAGGGCGCATCTGACCAGGTGGTACCATTTCCTGTCGGACTGGAATGGGAGAAACTTGTTCATACCACCGTTGACATTAAACTCCCCTGTGTTATGGACGGATGCTGCAGGTTACGCAGGTTTCACAGCCATCTTCGAAGACAGGTGGTTGAGGGACGCTTGGCCTAGCAAAGCACTAGGATTACCCACTTTCACAAAGACTTCGGCACTGTTTGAGATCTACCCCATAGTGGCAGCAGCTAAAGTCTGGGGCCACTTATGGGGAGGCAAAGCTGTCAAATGCTACTCTGACCACATGGCGGCTTGCGAGATTCTGAACAAAGGCAGGTCTTCTTCACTAACCATCATGAACCTGGTCAGGAGACTCACATGGTTGGCAGCCACAAAAAAAAATTTTTTTTTTTTTTCCCTGACTTGCATACACGTGCCAGGTCACCATAATTCAGCAGCTGACACACTATCCTGTTCAAAATTACAGGTTTTCAGACAGCTACACCCAACAGCAGAGGAACAGCCAAGAAAGGCGCCGCTGTTCAGAGACCTCATCCTGGACTAAAATTACTCATGGAGCACGGGAGGGCACTAGCACAGGCCTCACTTTCCCCAAACACCAGACGCATGTACAACCGAGCCTTAATGTTATTCAACAAATTTGTTTCAGAATACATCATTACGAATCCTTATAGGTTAGATACTATGGTGGCTTTCACCTCTTTTTGCCATCTCAACTTGAAACTGGCACACAACACCATAAAACTCTATTTAACTGGAATACAGCATCATGTAAGCAACACATATTCCAGTATAAAAAACTTCCTATCAGCACACCCCATTAAAATATGCTAAAAGGCATCCAACGCCTAGAAAACCTAAAACCTACTAGATGGCTACCAATTGACGCAGAGAAATTCAGGGCATTGTCTGACATGTTAGATACCAAACCCTTTGATAATCACACCAATAACACACTCAAAACAGCCATATACCTGGCATTTTATGCGTCCCAACGAACTCACCTTAAGCAACATCAACAATAAGGGAAATATACTGTGTGTGTCACACATAAACATAATAGGTGATCACTACACATTGACATTAAGACATTCAAACGAATCAAATGGGTCCGCACCTTGACATTCAATTTTACCCAACCGGCAATCATTGGTGCCCCGTACAACTATTCGACAAATACATGGCAGGTATGGCTTATCAACCCAAACAAGCTCCTCTCCTCACAATACACAGTCAACCCCTGACTACATCAAAATTCGTCAAATACGTGAGATTATTATGTACAAGAATCGGGTACGATCCCACGGCATATACAGGCCACTCCTTTCGTATCGGAGCGGCAACATCAACCTCCAGCCAAAACGTACCAGTTCATATTACCGTTACATACCTCAACCTGAGAAAGAGTTGAGACAAGCTTTTAAACAATTGGCAAAGTAGGGAAGCTCGGGTAATAATGTATGTGTATACGTATTAAGTGTGGAACTGATACTTCTCTTTTGCCCTCTTTATTTACAGGCTGACCCGTTCGTCGGTTTCGGCACACTACAACCGACTTAGTATATTAGACTAATGATTAGAGGTATAGGTCCACATAAATACGGCCTTCTTCCATGACCACAAATGGGAAGGCGGAGCCTGGAGTTGTGGGAGGGGTTGCAACCGGCCTATATAAACCCACTACTTACCTCCATACCTTGCTGACAGTGCTTGGTCACTTCCTGTTGCCCCACCCACCACTCCACAAAAGGAATCAATTAATTGGTTGGCCCTCTTTATTTACAGGCTGACCCGTTCGTCGGTTTCGGCACACTACAACCGACTTAGTATATTAGACTAATGATTAGAGGTATAGGTCCACATAAATACGGCCTTCTTCCCTGACCACAACTTTAATAAATGCTAAGTTTTAGATATATTGTTTTCATTTTATTTTTTGACAGATTTACATCCTGTTCAAATATAGGGTAATTCAGGAGATAACACTTTTTGTCTTCAGTTGAAGTACAAAGCCCACCATTAGCCGCTTTGGGACGTCTCTCCATGATTTGTTTACATCATTTACCCTCTATAGAGTAAACGTCTTTTGAATTGAACGGTTGGAGGATGTTATTGGAGCCTTCTGGGGATTCAATAATTGTGAGTATTTATATTGGTGTCTATTGTGTGTTTTTTCATTGTTTTGTGGTTGTTTGGCTGTTGTTCTTTATATTCTTCACTGCTCTATCTTGTTTCCTGCACAGCAGGAGATCAAATATTCGGCTTTTTCAGAATCCAGCAGTGTTGATCACAGTGAAATGTGAGAACCAGAGAAAGCCATTAACATCTTGTGATCTACATTTTGGCCACCGCTGATTATATAACTGTATCTGCACAAGTTTAATCCTGTCAGAGTGGACTGAAACCGGAGCGGTGCAGACGGATCCCGCCCTCCTTCTCTTTAATTTCATTTAATTGTATCGTGGCGTTATGTAGCACTGGGGCAAAAGTCATCCTCAGGGTCAGGCTTTGGTGGTAATGTTTTTTTTTTTTTTTTTTTAAAAAGGTGATCAGGTCATCCAAAACCGACTGGCAATTTTGTGGTTAATAAGTTAAAAGTTTTAAAAGATTAAAGTTTGTGTTATACGTTTATCGAAAATGGTTTTGAAATTATGGTTGTAAGTCCCTTAAGCTTTGCACAAACACCACCGCCAAGCCTATTGAAAAGTAATTAAACATCGTCTGTGTTTATTTAATTAGTTATTTATAAAATATTTTACCAGGAAAGATACATTGAGATTTCTCTCCTTTTTAAGTATGTCCTGGGTCCACAAAACATTGCATTGATACAATAGGGCACAATAAAATACAAAAACAATATTAATACACAATATATACAAAATGTAACATAGAACAGGTAGGAAATATATAATCAACCATA